AAAAAAAAAAAAAAAAAAGAAACAAATTCATTAGCAGCAGCAGCATATTTTTTCCAAAGAATATAAGGGACAAATGTAGCTATACCCACTTATAGCACTGGCGATGCTCACCAATTTGTAGTAGTATATTCTGGATCAAATTGATAGCACTTAGAGTGGAGCCGGAGATGACATCCAGGGTAATGTGACGTGTGTTCATGGAGGTGTGACAAGGTGGGGATGTGGGGCTTATGTTTGCATGTAGTAGTGGAAGAGCTGGATCTAGGATCATCCCCTACCATTTCTGATAGAACTCTTCATAAAGTAAGGAGTCAGACCTATCTTATCAAGGATGACAAAACTGTCACTTAAATTGAAGATAATTGTAACATTTTCGGATAGCTGCACCAGAATGTTTTCCTTGGGCGGGAAGATTTCTAAGGCAGTTCTTACAGACATAGTTTAGCAATGCTCCTCCTTCCTCTGTACAATATTAGGTACAGTATTTTTGCTTTTCCTCCAAATATGTACTATTCAAATGTTCCTTTCAAGTAAATATAAACCTGGATTTTTATTTTTCAGGCATACTGTACACAGATCCAAACTTCTTGTATAAGATAAGCAGAATTACATTTGAATTTCATCCTCACTGATTTACCAGGCTGCCGCCCACTGGGTATACCAGTCAGTTTGGCATGGTGAAAGCAATATGCATCATGCTTAGGAATGGTCAGAACACAATTCTAAATTTTCAAAATAAGTTTATATATTTTTCCTATCCCTTTAGTCCTAAACACTAGCTGAAGACTGTCTAAGAGGGAGTGATACTCTTCTGGGCACTGCCAGATTCAGTAGGCAAATTATATTCTGATGCAGTGTTTCTCAATTTTACCCGTGTTAACATATTGGCCTTTGTTGTAGGGGATGTACCATGCATTGTAGGATATTGAGGAGCACCCGTGACCCATACCCAGTAGATGCCAGCAGCACAAGCTCGGCTGTGATAATCAAAAAATATATACAAGCAGGGTGCAGTGGCAAACACCTGTAATTTCAGCACTCAGGAGGCGGAGGCAGGAGGATCACATAAGTTTGAGGACAACCTCGGCTACATAGTGAGATCAGGTCCAACCTGACCTGTATACCAAGACTCTGTGTCTCAAAAAAATGTATCCAGAAGACTATATACATCTCTTGAAGGGGCTAAAATCACCCTTGGTTGTGATCCACTTGTTCAATGATGTGTGGAGCTTAGCTTTTGGGCTTGTTTTACTTTATTGATATTGACTTTAATTCCACTAGACTGACTCATGTTCTGTACTAAGACCCAAATATATACAAAAGATAGAGTCATAATACAGTTCCATGAAAGAAAAAGTGGACTTTCAAATTAGAGATCTCTCTTCTGCTTTTTATCACAGATACATATAGCCATGGCATCTCACTTGACACCTGCTTATCAGTCTCCTTCGTAAAGTATGGCTCACAGGATTGTCATTGCTGACTGACCTCCCCTTGAAAATCATATGTTGAAGTCTTCCTCCCTCAAAACCTCAGAATGTGACTGTATTTTGTTAGTATTTGAAGAGATAATTAGCTGGGTGTAGTGGTGCACTCCTGTAATCTCAGCACTCAGGAGGCAGAGGCAGGAGGATCACCGTGAGTTTGAGGCCAGCCTGAACTATATAGCAAGACCCTGCCTCAAAAAAAAAAAAAAAAAAAAAAAGAGAGAAGTTAAAATGAGGTCATTGACCTGAGTCTTAATCTATCATAACTGGTATGTATAAGTGAAGATCACAGCACAGTTACACATCGAGGGAAGGCATTGCAAGCTGAAAGGGATAAGGGGATCATCTACAAAGAAAGGACATTCAATCCTAATTCTTTGAGGTATCTCCATACTGTTTTCCACTGGTTGCACCAGTCTACACTGACCCAACTATTCCCCTGCTGGGTGTCTTCCCTAAAGAATTAAAACAATCATACCATAATGATGACATATGCAAACCCGTATTCACAGCAGCACAATTTGTAATAGCTGAAACTTGGAAGCAGCCCAGTTGCCCACAACAGGAGACTGGGTAAAGAAAATGCGTGTTGTTTTTTTTTTTTTTAATAAGATGGAATCCTACTCAGCCATAAAAAATGAGAAATTAGAGACATAGCTAAAGGTGTACACACTGAGGCAATACTCAAGTGATATAAATAGGATACATATGTGTAAATACCCAATAGTTTCTCTAGTGTGAAACTGAAAGTGTAAATAAGGGCTAAAAGGTGTAATAGATTACGTGAAACAGGAAGAAAAGGGACAAAGAGGAAGTGGAAATGAGAGGGCTAGGGTAAAAGAAGGGAATGGAATTAATATGATAAAATAAAAAATAATGGAAACAAAGTCTTTGTAGATAGGGAGGAATGAAGCTCATCCAAGCCATTTTTTGGTGGCATCACTCATACAAGCTCATTTCTTAGAGATAAAGGAGATTTGCTTTAGGACTTTCTGAAAGCTTTCCAGGCTTTGTGCTTCATGGTGATGATTTACAATGTGCATTTTAAAGCATATATATCTAATTTATTTCACTTCACATTATGATCTAAAGATGAATCTGTTGTCCCACAAATCACTCAAGTTTATCATTCTTCATGGCAGAGTAGTACTCCATAACATATAAATATCACATTTTTATATATTCATCGGTTGATGAACATATAGGCCACTTCAAAGATTTAGCTATTATAAATTGTGATGCTATAAAGATGGTATTCATGTATCACTGTAATATGTCTAACTGTTTGAGGAAGGTACCTTGAAGGAGAATAGCTGGATCAAATGGAATTTCTATTTTTAGTTTTTGAGGAATCCCCACATTGATTTTCACAATGGTTGTACTTACTACTTCACATTCCAACTGATAATGTAGAAGTATTCCTTTTTCCCTGCAGCCTCTCCAGTATTTGTTACGGGGAAAACTGGCGATTTCACATACAGAAGATTGAATCTAGACCTATATCTCCCACCATGTTCTAAAATAAAATCAAAATGAATCAAAGATGTAAATGTTGAAGCAGAAATACCTAATCTTCTGGAAGATAAAACAAGTAAATCTCATGAAGACATAGGCATAGGCAAGGAGTTTCTGAGTAAAAGCCCATCTGCCCAAGATATAACATCAGGACAAAGCCTCATTGTAGATTAGAACTGGCACTGTTGATTGGTGTCCAGAATTAGTCAGTGTGATTAAAATCGAGACCCAGGTCATGCTTCTGTCACAGTAAACTTATTACAGTGGTGACGATGAGACCTGTAACATTCTGCTCAAGAATAATGAAAAATGCTGACTTTCAGTATTAGGAATGAATGATTAAGGAATAATACAAAATCTAGATCATGTGCCACTATACCAATATTATGTACAATTCAAATTCTAGGCTCCTAAAGTGTAAAGTGTTGCAATAAATTTCGATATAAGGTAAGAACCCAGGAGTTTTGAAGTTGTCACTGACCATAATTCCAGTGGAGATAAAAGAATTGCAGGCAGATAGGATGACTAGATTAAGCATCAGTTCTTTGAAAAAGGGCTCTCTTGAAAGCAAAGAACCCATTTAAAGTGACCTTGATGAGTACTGAAAGAATTATATCTGAAATTTCTTAAAATAAAGATTTATTTAATTTTTTGCCAAAAAGAAGAAATAATATCAACAATTGATATAACATCAAATTAAAAAGCTTCTTCACAGAAAGGAAACAACTGACAGAGTGAAGAGACAACCCACAGAATAGGAACAAATTTTTGCCAGCTATTACTTTTTTTTTCATTTTGGTTTTTGGTTTTTTGAGACAGGGTCTCACTATGTAGTTGAGGCTGACCTTGAAGTCACTATGTAGCCCAGGCTGGTCTCGAACTCACATCAATCCTCCTGCCTCAGCTTCCCAAGTGCTGGGACTACAGGCATGCGCCACCACGCTCAGCTGCCAGCTATTTCTTAGAGGACAATATCTAGAATATGTAAAGAATTCAAAGATGTAGATCCCCCAAAATAAAAGACCCAATCAAAATATGGGCAAATGAAATGAATAAACATTTTCAGAAGTAGAAATGGCCAATAAATATGTGAAAATTTTTTCAACATCTCTGGCCATTAGAGAAATGCAAATTAAAACCACACTGAGATTTCATCTTACTCCAAAACAATGGCTATCATCAAGAAATCAAATAAGAACAAATGTAGGATATTTCCACCATAACTTTACTTCTTGGCACCATTTGAACTCAGTCAGACTCAGAGTTCCTCATGAGCAGTGATGCCTCCCTGAGCCACCTCCAGCTCACTCCCTGCTGCCTCTCCCTGGCATTTTCCCTAACACAATCATCACCTGTTAAATCCTCACCTGAGGGCTGCTTCTGGGAGAACCCAGAGAAACACAGTGTGTATTGATTCTGTTTTTCAGAAGAAACAAAGGCACATAGAAGTGTGTGCTCAGAATTACATACCTATTACTAGTGTGAATATATTCAAGTATAGTTTTATCTGAATACAGTTTTGTTCCCCCACATATAACATGTCTTAAAATCTATATTGAAAATGCTAAAACCACTATATCCACCTCCCTTTTATATTTATTGACAATAAAATAGAAATGGCAAATCAATCTATAAGAAAAATCCAAGAATAAAAATAGTAATAATGCTCATCTTTCAGCTTTACCTATGCATCAAAAGGTAATGTTAAACTCACACAGCTTGAATTCTCCTCCACAGAACATTGCATTTGACCAACTATTGTCATCATACATACCATAGGAGTTGCTAAAGGAGTAGGTAGTGAAATTTTCACTCTTGTCTCTGAATTGAAAAGAATCAAAATGGCTGATTTTTATTACATTCTAAGCACTGTGCTAAATACTAGACATAGGGTAGGGTATTTCAATAATAACAACAGAGGCCCAAGTCAGGATTTCGGCTTAGGTGTTTCCCATATAAGAATTTAGCCACATTTTGTGGAAAAAATAATACAAATAAGGGTGTACTGAACTTCCTCATAGTTATTTCAGCCTCACTGAAGAATTGTGGCTAGAAAAAGAAATTATGTACCATTTTTAAAATGTGGAAATTAAATATCTCGTATTTCTGAGTGTGTGAACTAAGTTTCCTAGCCATGAGACACGCATCGACTCATGTTCCTTGCTGGCTTTCCCTTGAAATTCTTCAGTATTTGTTTTCCTTTTCCCTTTATTCCTCGGGAAGTTATTCTTCTTTGTTCTAATCTGGCAGTTAATTACCTTCAAATTATAACATGCATACTTCATCTTACACAGCCTGAATTTAATTATTTTAAATTTTAGCTGATAAAACACAAATATTGCACATATTAATGGAATATCATGTAATGTGCGATACATGTATACATTGTGTAACATTTCAGTCAGGTGAAACATATTTATCTCTTTAAACATTCAGCAGTTGTTTTGTGGTGAAAACTTGCAAAGCTTTTTCTTCTAGCGTTTTGAAATGTACAGGACACAACTGTTATCTAGAGTCATCATACTGTCCAATAGTACCCAGAGCTTCTTGTTCCTAATTGTAATTTAATACTTATTGATCAAAATTTCTCTGTCCTTTTCCCTCTATGGCCTCTGGTAAACATTCTACCCTCAACTTTGATGAGACTGACTTTTAGAGTCCACATAAGAGTGAGCTTATACAAGACTTGTCTTTATGTACCTTAAGTAATTCACTTAACACAATGATCTCCGGGTCCATCCATGTTGTCAAAATGACAAGATTTAACTCCTTATGGATGAATAACCGTGTTAGAAACTTTTCTCTCATTGCTGAGACAAAATGCCCGACACACACCCAGAGCAGCATTGATCAGGCCCAAATATCAGCTGTTTCTCAAAGCCTCATTTTTCCCATCTTTCCTGTATAAGTTAAATCGCCTTTGCTGTCATGGCTTGCAGCAGACTAGGCCTTACTACAGAGGTTCTAGTAAGGTCCCCTTTCCGTGTTCCCCACACAATCCCAAGGAGCACATTCTCTAGGCTGCTGCCATTTTGGAAGATCCTCCCTAGGCCGCCATTTTGGAACAACTTTCCTAGGCTGCCACCATTCTGGAACATGGTGTGGCCATTGCCATTTTGGAACCTGGTACTCTGGGGCTTTTTGCTCAAAGCAAATTCCTTCGTCTTTACAACTCTGAAGCTGCAAAGAGTAGGGTACCGCTGGCTGCCATGATGCCCTCAAACCATTTCTTCTATTCTCCTGTTCCTTCTCAGCAATCAAGATCTGCTCTGCTCTCTTTTTATGAGCTACAGCTTTCCTGGAGCTTCCTTTCTGGCCAAATTCAAAATGTTTTAAATCATTCTGCTGAACTCTTTGCTCTTGATTCTCCACATAGATCTGTCTAAAAGTCCCCAACAGTAGCCATGCCACTGCCTCAATATTTGACTGCCTTGAAATTTCTTCTGTAAGATTAATTAGTCCACCTCCCCTAATCTCAGTCTCAGTCAAAGACTCTGGACATGAACAAAATGCAGACAAACTTTCTGCTAAGCCATAATGCACATCACCTGGAGACCAATAGTTGCATCATTTCAGTCTTTCTTCCTAGCAGAAACCTTCCCAGCCTGGTCTTTATAAGCTTTCGGGTCTTCTGATCTCTGACCAGAATCTCCCATACAGAACAGCCTCCCATACCCTACTTGTTCATCTGGTAGCTCTGAATCTTTTAGCAAAGTCCTCTGAGCATGAGCAAAATTCAGACAAACTTTCTGTCAAGTCATAAAACACATCTTCTGGAGTCGAGCAGCCAATGCAGTCCTTCCCAGCAGAAACCTCCTGAGCCTGGTCTCTACTGGCTTTCTGGTCTTCTGACCTCTGACCAGAATCTCCCATACAGAACAACTGAAGGCGTTCCAAAGCTGCTTCTGTAACCAATATCTCTGGATCTTTCCTAACTCTCCTCTTTCCTACAAGCCAGTTCCAAAGGCTATTGAGCCACATGGTGAGGTAAAGTCACAGCAACGACCCCACTGCTCTGGTACCAAATTTCTGTGTTAGTTTTCTCTTATTGCTGAGACAAAATGCCTGAAACCCAAAGTTAGAGGGAAGGGGGTTTATTTGGCTTACAGTTTGTAGAGGTTTCATTCCGTAATCAACTGGCTCCAAGGCAGGGATGACAAACAAGCATTGCAGAGGAGAAACAACATGGTGCACACAAGGCAGTGAAGGCAACATCAGAGTTAATAGTGTCTCCCTGCCCTTTTATTTTAATCAGACTATTTAGGGCGGGTAGCACTCACACCCTTTATCTTTGTGCCCTTGATTCTAGCATTACATCATGATTCAATTACAGCTATACACACTCTAGATCAATTCTATGACCACATGAGGCTTTGGGGGGGACATCTAGACCCAATTCATAAAACAGTATTCCATTTGTATATGTTCTACATTTTATATATCCATTCCTTGTGCAATGGACATCTAGGATGTTAGCACTACTTGGCTACTGTGAATAGTGCTGTAATGAACAACAGAGTGTAGCAGTCCCTTTGATATACTAATTTTATACCCTTTAGATAAATGTCTAGTCATGGGATTGCTTAATCTTATTTTTAATCTGGTTCTGTTTGGATCTTTTAAAATCTTTTGAGAACCCTCCATGCTGTTTTCCATAATTATTAACTAACTTACTCTTTCACCCACAGTAGGCAAGCGTTTCCTTTTCTCTGCCTCCTTGCCAGCACTTGTTATTATTGATATTTTTATTTTAGTCATTCTTATTGGAGTGAAGTGGTAACTTATTGTGGGTTTGATTTTTATTGCCCGGATGTTGTTTTGCTGTTGTTATTTCATTGTTGGAATTCCTTGTATATTTATGGATATCAACCACTTGCCAGATATGTATATTGCAAACATCTTCTCTCATTTTATAGGCTCTTTTTGCACTCTGTTCATTTCCTTTGCTGTGTAGAAAATTTTAATTATCAGTCATCTCACATATCTATTTTTGCTTTCATTTCCTGCACTTTTGGGGTCTTATCCAAAAAATCCTTGCCAGTTTCAGCATCCTGGGGTATTTCTCCTATATTTTCATCTAGTATTTTTTAGGTCTTACCTTTAAATATTTAATACATTTTGAACTTAATTTTATAATTTGGGAAAGATAGGGATCTACCTTCATTCTCTGCATGTGGATATCAAATTTTCCCAACACAATCTATTGAAAAGATCATCCTTTCTCCAAAGCATGTTCATAGTGCCTTTGTTCAAAATCAGTTGGCTATAAAGGATAGCACTGACTTCTAGG